CAGCCAGGTTTTACAAAATTAGGACAGGTATGCCATGGCAAAACGTATGGAGAAGCAGATCCAAAACCCAGATTTTTGAGATTTAAAGTGGGTTTTTGATCCTCAATTCGGCCCAAATCCAACTTTCAAAAGCCAGCGGGCCAGTTTCCGATGAATGGACTGTAGTAGGGTGAGGTGAGGCAAGCCAGTGCATTGTGCTAGTCCTGGTACTCTGTAGTCATGGTGTGCATGTGGATGGTAGTGATGTTGCAGATGCTGCATGTTGGAAATAATACCAAGCCTGCCGTTGCTAAGAAATGATTCTACAGTCCATTCATAAAAAAGATGGGCCCCTGCTCCAGCGAGTTCCCGTTTTTGGCGATTTTATCGTACGTGGTGCAGTGCCGCGAAATTTGAAACTTGAAAGTCCAAAATGGTACCTCAGCTGGGGTTCGAACCGCACAATGTACTGTTGCAAGTAGAGTGAAGCGGCCTGGATTTTCCCAATTCAGTGCTTTTGGATCAAAACCTGGCCGAAATCCTATTCTTGCCGTTTGCTTTTTGGAGAAATAGACTTTAGAAACAGTATTGCCTTTATTGAAAGAGCATTCCATAGGGGATTGCCGAAAGAAATTCCAAAAAAGTCCGTTTGAACCATTTATGGCCAAAAGCTAGAAGTCCATCCTTTTATGAATGGACTCTCTCGTGCAATCCCACCGCTACGTCTGCCTAGTTGTAATGTTGTGTTGAATCCTGCGGCCATTATCATCGTCACTGCACTGGTGTCGACTGCCAGTGGTAACTTGGCACTGATCGTACTAATGTATTGGTGTATCAGCTGTGTGTGTGTGTGTGTGTGTGTGTGTGTAGTGACGTGGTAATGGGGTAATGGGGTAGTGTGGTGATGCTATTGATGCTTTCATGCAGAGTGGATGCTGAGAAGGACCTGAGCTTCCTTGGCCTTCTTGTCATGTGCAACACGCTCAAACCGGAGACGGCGCCCATCATTCGCGAGCTGCATGACGCCGACATTCGCACTGTCATGGTCACAGGTACGTCGTCGTCACCGCCTGCTTGCCATGTGTGCTGTGCTGGCCGTCTAGGATGTTGTTGTTGTTGACTTTTATTTTACTTCACCAATTGCGCAGGCATGATGTGTTGTGTTGTCCCGCTTGCCATGTGTGCTGTATGGCAGGGATGTGGTGTGTCACTGTGTAACTGTGATAGCTGTATCCCCGTCAAGCACGGTGGGTGCACTGGTGAGGCAGCTGCTCTCCTCTCATGTGACAAGTAACAAGTGACGAGTCGTATGGTGTTGATGCTGCATTGCTTGCCCTACTTTCTGCACTTTGCAGGTGACAACATCCAAACTGCGGTCAGCGTTGCTCGGGAATGTGGAATGATCCGCTCCCATCAGAAGGTAAGCAGGAGCGATATTGGTTTGCGCTTACCAATCCTGCTTTTGTATGGTGCCTCTAAGGTTTGCTATTGCAGCTGCACCATTGTCAAAGCCAACATACTCTATGTTGTGTGTGTGTGTGTGTCTGTCTGTCTGTCTGTCTGTGTGTGTGTGTGTATGTGTGTGTGTGTGTGCTGTTATGTCTGCTGTTATGTTTAGGTGGTTATGTTAACGGCTCACAAAGCGCAGAGTGATGACACTGCTACAGTTAACGGAGATGCCACCCCCGGCAAGAACGGCGGAGGTGTGGGCCCACAGCCGGCAGAAGAAACGCCTTCCACAGCCGCAGCAGTAGCCACTTCACTACCTGTAATCCAGTTCTCAGCCGTTGGTGAACCCACAGACGCAATGTCACAGTCACTTGGCCTACCCACTCACGGACATGTAAGAAAAGTCTTGCCACGTTTTAAAAGTTAACCCTTTATGGTTCATTCTCACGGCAGGATTTGGCCAATTTCAATTCGCGGGCAGGCACCATATCCTTTTGTTCATAATGTTGGTTTCCCTGAATGGAATTTCAGAATCTTGGGCTTCTTGGAAAGCAGCTCTTGGCATGTACATACACCTTGAGGAAGTGAGAAATCGAAGAAGAAAAATTACGGCCCGAAAAATGTCTTCATCCCAAGGAGTCTGTGTATTCCGTAGGGTATGTCTAGACGAAGTACCAAACAAAATGGCCACTTGCCATTACTTGACAGGTTGCGTTCCAAACCATTTCCGGTCATAGCTCATTCATGTCTACGTTGCTGCCGATGCTGCTTCCACTGCCGATGCTGCTTCCACTGCCGATGCTGCTTCCACTGCTGATGCTGCTTTTTCCACCACCGCTACGTCTGCTGTTGTTGTTGCTGTTGCTCTTGCTGCTGTATGCCTGTATTTAGCCTGGTATCCCATCGTATCAGAACGGCAGCAGCAACGGCTCTCCAGCGACCGATGTAGCCAGTCTTGTGTCGCCCAGCGGTGTGTTGAGCACCGTGCGGCTGGCCATATCTGGTAAGTCGTTTGCCTTGGTGCGCCAGTACTATCCCGACCTGCTCAAGAGACTCATGCTGCGTGGCTCCGTGTTTGCACGCATGGCGCCGGAACAGAAGACGCAGCTAGTGCAAGAATTCCAATCCCTCGGGTGAGTGGCAATACTGCTAGAAAGCTGACAGTCTCTGTGCCATGTCTGAGTACTCGTGGCAATCAACAATGTCTACTTTGAATCACTAGCAAGTATACCAGTTGTGTTGGTCCCAATGAAAATACAATGCATAGCTCTCACTAGGCTGCACGCAGCAGAGAGATCCGGGCCAGCTTTGACACCTGTGAATTATTTCTGATGAACTGTTCAAAAATCCTGCATGTCCACAGTCTGGCTGCACATCGGGTTTCTCTCCCAAAGAAATGCACCAAACACTCGTGTACACTGAAGATTGTGCCTGTCTTGCTGGATGATTGTATCTGCTGCTCTAGCTTTCTGCCCTGTCCAATACTATTCTGACTGTGTGCTCTTGCAGTCTTGGTGTACTCTCGGCATGCTCTGTGTGTGCTCGGTGTGTGCTCATGTTGTGCTTATTGTGTGCTCACTGTGTGCTCATTGTGTGCTGTTGGTGTACTCTCTGCATGCTCACTGTGTGCGCTCCGTGTACTGTGGGCATGCTCATTGTGTGCTCTGTGTGTGCTTTGTGTGTGCTTTTTGTGTGCTCACTGTGTGCTCACTGTGTGTTGTTCTATGGCCACAGCTATGGCGTTGGTATGTGTGGCGATGGGGCTAACGACTGTGGAGTAAGTGGTTCACCACATTCCGTGCTGCATGCTGCATGCAGCATGTACAGTGCATGTGCAATCATCTCATTATTGATACTATGTGTCCTGCTTGATGAGATTATGGAAGTGCCAGGGCTGTGAGGCTTTGACTTGTACGTACATCAACCATTAACCATCAACTGCACACTGGAGTGAGGCTTTGACTTGTACGTGCATCGATCTGCACACTGGAGTGAGATTGCTGCCATCTTTCTCTTGACTGGCTTGCAAAGCTGCCATTTTTTAATAACTAACGCTCTGTGCATTGTTTGTCGCCCTTCGCAGGCATTGAAGGCAGCTCATGCTGGAATTTCACTGTCAGAGGCGGAAGCATCCATAGCCAGTCCCTTCACGTCCAAAGTGCCCAACATTGAATGCGTGCCAACTTTGATTAGGTATGCGCTGAATGTCTGCCTACTTTGATGCATGCGCCTAGGCTAATGTGATGTTAGCCGTCCATTGGCTGCAGGCCTTATACGGCTTGAGTTCCACTGTGTGTCCGTGGTAGTCTTGAGAGTTCCGCTCTGTTGAAAGAGTACAGTTCAAGTACATGTAACTAATTCTGCTGCCGCTACACTGTGTGAATTTCAATCTGCTGACTCAGTGCCCGTTGTCAGCCGAATGCTGCACTGTATAAAATATCCGTTGGTTCGATGACAAACAGCAGAACATTCGAATAGTGGATTTTGCTATTTTGTGTCACATGCGTGTGTGACTGTGTGTGTGTGTGACTGTGTGCACGGCAGATGTATTCAGGTCGGAATTATCTTTCATTCTATTGATATATCTGTTGGCTTCACTGTCTTTGCCCGTGGTTGATGCTGTTGAAACCAGTTGAGATCTTGTAATATTAGGGGGGGGGGGGGGGAGGGAGACAGACAGACAGACAGACAAGGAGAGAGGGAGGGAGAGAGGGGGAGAGATTTCTAGAAAATATCTTTTGGAAAACTTTGTCCGTATGTGAATCCTTCATTTGCCTTTTGCCTTGTTTCTTTTCATTTGTTCCAGGGAGGGGCGTGCAGCTCTGGTCACTTCGTTCAGTGTCTTCAAGTTCATGGCGCTTTACAGCATCATTCAGTTTGTCTCCATCCTCATCCTGTATTCGGTAAGGCTTAAGCCATGCCTGGTATTAATAATAATAATAATAATTTGAAACTCGGATGTTGAGCCATAAATAAATGTGGAAGAGAAAAGGACATATGGATACGAGTTAAGAGTAACTCTCCATCACTGTAACATGATACTATATACAGTCAGAAAGTGCAATAACTAGGCACAAAACTGACAGAGTACTGAAACATTCGACGTCCTGACACCTAGCTTCAACACATCTCCGTAGCGCTAACCGACAGCCTTCCAACTTGGAAGGTTCAAGGTTATGGAAAAGACCAAAGAGGGGAAGGCAAGCGCAACGAAAACGAGCAAAAGCTACAGTCCCAACGGAACAAAGAATGTCGATTGTTACTGGACGATGACGAGACCAGTACGATATTTGACAAAGCGGTCTAACTACAATTCGAAGCAGCAAAGCAGCACACCACCCAACTTGGGTGGGTCATAAATATCAAAGATAAGTAAAGAAAGGGAAGCTTTGCGAAAACGAATTGTACAAGCCGAAAGCCAAACTCCTACAGTACTCCTCATGCATGACATTGTTGTCATGCATGACACCCAAGTTGGGTGGTGTGCTGCTTTGCTGCTTCGAATTGTAGTTAGACCGCTTTGTCAAATATCGTACTGGTCTCGTCATCGTCCAGTAACAATCGACATTCTTTGTTCCGTTGGGACTGTAGCTTTTGCTCGTTTTCGTTGCGCTTGCCTTCCCCTCTTTGGTCTTTTCCATAACCTTGAACCTTCCAAGTTGGAAGGCTGTCGGTTAGCGCTACGGAGATGTGTTGAAGCTAGGTGTCAGGACGTCGAATGTTTCAGTACTCTGTCAGTTTTGTGCCTAGTTATTGCACTTTCTGACTGTATATAGTATCATGTTACAGTGATGGAGAGTTACTCTTAACTCGTATCCATATGTCCTTTTCTCTTCCACAATAATAATAATAATTAACTGGTTTGAGGGAAAGAGACAAACGGGAAAAGTCTGAAGAAAAAATTGACTGTCACCACCAGGACTCGAACCAGGGACCCTCGCTTAATAATAATAATAATATCTTTATTAGGATGACCCAGAGGCTTATTCATGCTGGTATTCACACTGGCGTGAAAGTTTCATGTTGACAGTCAACCACTCACTTTCATTTGTTTCAACCTCTCGAGTCATGCTTTCTTTAATACATCATGTACAGTGCGTATCGGTTATAGTGTGGTCGTATACAAGAATATACTGCCTACAAGAATGAACACCCATTTTTTCATAATCATAACACATATTTTATGTGTATATTTATTCTTACAAGCAGTATTATCGCATACTAGAATATATCGGCCCTAAGAATGGATTTTGTGTAGCAAAATATGCCAGATTAGTGCAAAGTGTATCGCCTGTAGTAATAACATCTGTGCTCTGTGCATACTCAATACAATAATATAATTAATATTCAACACAAAAAGAGAGTTATGTCAAACTGAGCATAGGAGAATCACTTTTTCTGTCCAGTCGGACTCTTTCTTCCGACTTCTCTCGTATCTGCTGCTCCGCAGTCGCCTAGCACGACCGCGAGTCTGATCCGTGTGTATCATGTGTAGACCTACATGCTTGTACGTGTCCACATGCCAAACGTGCGCGCATAATTGTAATTATGATACCTGTATGTCACACGTGCATATGATATGTCACACGTGATTTATCGTGTGTAAGAAATATCGGCAATAAGAATCAAATGTCGTTTTTCAAACACCCACGCTATAACCGATACCTACTGTATATGTATACCCAAGATCCTTGTCCAGTTTGAGAAATCTGCGCACTTGCGTGCGGGCAGGCATACAGATGTATTGAGAGGGACACTGTCCATAGCGAAGGTGTAGTTGGTACCCTGTCACGGCAGTCACCAAATTACCAATGTGCACATTCCTGCTACATGTACGTGTACATCCCCCATCTCTCTAAGTACTATAGGAGTTGAAAGTGTGACGAGTCTAAAGTTTAAAGATTTGCGAAAACTTCCCACTTAGCGGGCACGATGTTTAATGACCCCGCCATCACACACCTGTCTTCTATTTCTCCAGTACAGAGGAGAGAAGGAATAACATACGTGTAACGTTTCTTGAGCTACCAATGTGTTCTTTCTCATTAAAACTCTAGACTTTGTGCCCCATTAGACATTCAACTCTTCCAGTAGTCAGACGGGTGTATAGACAGGTGTATATTAGAACGGCTTCTGCAGACTTTATTGTCCTTGCTTTTCTGTGGGAATAGGAGAACTTCCTTTCTTTTCTAATACTTGTACCTTTTCAAGTTTGGCAATATGGCGGTAAAATTCCAGGTGTGTTTTTACCACCATATTTGTCAACCATATGTACAGCTGCAGTGGTGTCTTCAACTTCGTTTTCAAGTTTGCCTTCAATTTTTCCACATACCTGCGTGTGTGTGTGTGTGTGTGTGTGTGTGTGTGTGTGTGTGTGTGTGTGTGTGTGTGTGTGTGTGGTGTTCTGCACGTTTGTGCATGCCTATGTACCTGGATATGCTGTGCAGTTTGATAGCAATCTCGGTGATCGCCAGTACCTCTACATTGATCTCATTCTCATCCTGACGTTCGCCTTTGTCAGTAAGTTTTGCCGTGATGGTGCATCTAAACACATTGGGCATACCAGTAGATATTAAACGCTGAGGGCAAACTAATTCCTGATTCCCGTGAGACTCAGTTAGACCGAGCTTTCCGCACCCACAGCGCAGGAACACCACCACCCTCTAGGTTCAAGGCGCAGAAGCAGCTCCTAAAGCCTGAGGGCAAGAAGTCTCTTAAAAAAATGTTAAAATATTTTTCACTTCACTAGATGCGATATGGCTGGAACCTGCGTAGGTCTTATGCTTGCGACACTGTTGGCCATTCACGGACTAGTATTCGATTTGGTGTGCTTCTGTTTGCATGTGTATGCTGATCACCAGTGGTTCGTACACACGCCTACCCGCATCTAGCCCGTCGTCGACCACCCGGCAGCCTGTCTGGTATCCAGGTGCTGACGTCGCTGCTCACGCAGATTGTCATACAGACGGCATTCCAGGCCGGTGCGTTTGAGTACCTCAAGTCGCAGCCGTGGTGAGTAGGAATATCACTTCATGTACATGTACTCTGTTGGAGATATATTTTGCTGCATTTGTAGTGTCTAAGACGGTAGTGACGGTAGTGATGCTATGGTTAACCCTTTAGCATGCATGGTTGGAAATCAAACAAAAGAAACTTGGGTACACCCAGTAGTGCTGAGCAGTACAATCATGTACTGGACGCCAATCAGTGGTGCCACATCACTTGTGCCTGCTTTTAGTAGAATATAAAATGCATCGCTCGGGGGGGGGGGGGGGGGGGCTTTACCCGCGATGGTTGTCGAACACAATAGCAAAGCCATGCGCTGTGCAGACAGTAGTAATGCACATCGGGTTGTGCACGAGCATTCCAGCAACGATGCAGTCACACTTCATGGCCATATTGCCAGCTTTCTCCATCACGCTTACACAGTTTGCGTCATTGCGGATACGTGGGAAGCTGGCACGAGGTCCTTGGCGGCATCACAATTATGCAGATGGTGCCGTCGTTGTCATCGCTTCAACAAGATGTTTTTTGTCTTTTATTATTACTAATGGTGTAGCTCTGAGCTACTGATAAGAGCAGGCAAAACTGGTCTCTACTCTTAGAAGAGACAAAAAGAAAACTTGAGAAAAGTTGCTTGTAGAGCAACAAAATATGAAGTCGGCAAGTTCTCGCTGGGAACGAAGCTACATTCGGATTACTAGACCCATACTAGGCTCGCGTGATTCCTCTGGTGTCAGCGCGGAGCCAAAATGAGACATGTGTACAGCCAGAAACGGATGTGTGTACATGTAGGGGGTGCAAGGGAAGCACACAGTGAGCTGTAGCAGCCAGAAATGGATGTGTGCATACAAAGGGGAGCCAGGGTGCCACAAGGGGCACAGAAGGATCACGACTGATGTTCGTGACACTCCCCACCAAGAAGAAAGGAGAGACTGTGTGAACTAAAGAACTACGTGAGAAAAATCAGGAAAGGAAAGCTTACTGGTAGCGCTAGCTGGGTGTAGTTAGACTACACCATTGTCAATGAGATTCTTTAGCGCAATTTTCTGCTTGGCTGCGGCAGCGCGCTGAGGACGAGATGGTGTAGTAGATTTCGTGACAGCATCAGGCTCTGAGGTGACATCTGCGGTAACGCCGGCCGGTGTGGGGTCGCGGCCATGCTCAGTTCTAGAGGATAGAGCAAGCTGAGAGGACGCTTTAGTGTGCGGTGATCGGCGGTAGTGACAGAGGCTGATCGAATCTTGCCGTCTGCACTTGCATGCGTTTCACACGCCTTGTCCAAGTTTTTACAACACTGGATGATACCGTCTTCATCAGGGGACTGCTTGTGCTCGCCAATCAGCAGATTAGGCGTATCTGCTGCCAAGCAGTCGACAACCTCAGGGTAGTGTCGCTGCTGTCAATGGCGTATACACAGCAGTCTTGCATGATCTGTCTGCTTGCTGCTGAGGGGTAGAGGCCCAGTCACGGCCCCTTCCGGTCGCTTCGACGTGAAGGCACTACCCCATCCAGCCACGCCGTATAGGCGGTTCCCATCACGGATGCAGCCAATGAAGGCGCCGGTACATGCACACGAGGGTGGTGCACCTGGGGCAGGCAACTCAAGCTGGCCACGTAACGCTCTCTACACAACAGACGTAGCAATGACTGCACATGTACCACTCTTGTCATCGATAGAACTCTTGTGAGCATTCCATCGGCAAATAGTACTCACAGAGCTGCCCAACACGTCAATTCCGCCTGGAGATAGTAACAGCAGGCATATGCATAGATGGCGTAGCATTGGCTGGTATGGACTCCTGAGCAGGTGCGGCATTGACCGGCAGCGACACATTAGCAGGTGCAGTGCTGGGTGGATGGGCCTGAGACGCAGAATCGCTGCTCGACAATTCCGGCTCTGGCACTGCGTGTACTGCAGGTAAAGCGATGGCCTCTGAGTCCACGGGCTGCTGTTTTCCGAAGGCACGGCCTGCCGCGACGGCAACATGGTGAGGCAGGCGCTCACTCATTTTCTCTGTCGGGCTGAACTCCTGGGAGGACTTATTCTGTGTGATGGTCATCAGCGACTGCAAAAGGTCCTCCTGCATTCGATTCCTTGTCTTCGTCTTATCCGCAGTCACTGCTGAGAACTGGCGCTCAATGTCGGCATTCGAATGTGGCAGAGCAAGAACAGCACGAGCCAATGACGACAACGTTGGGAACATTGCATCGCCGTTGATACCGGTTAGCCTCCCAATTGCATGCCAGTAGCGGTCAACTTTGGTGGTAAGGTTCTTGTGCGTGGTACACTGGTAGCACTGCCACTCCCGGACCAACAGGTGCTTGTTGCCGTCCCAGGCTCCAGTCCACAGTTTTAATCCACCACCTTCTCTGCCTCCTTTCACTCGCCTTGGGCTCCCACCAGCTCCTCATCTCCTCCGCTCCCACGCTTACTTCTTACTTCAAGGTTATTTTGTTGTTGATGACGACGACGAACAGACTCATGACAAACTAACTCATCCTCTCCGTCTCGGGTTTCGGCACCATGTTGTTACGGAATCTCAGCCATTCCGTTCCCCAGGACGCAGGACACAAATGACAAGACTGGTTTGTGTTTTACATTATATTATTGACAAGACGGAAAAGCAAACTGCTCTGACAGAGACGAACAAGAAGACTGACAAAAGGACTCTCGACTACAAAATCGCGCATGCTCATATCACACATGCACGCGACTAGACGAGACAGTTTGGGGAATGCCGTCACACAGGAAAACAACACATCATTTCATAACATGCTGCATGCAGATGCCGTGATGGCCTTGGGGTATCGTGTGATCTACAGGCGGCGTACCATGTGGCCTACGTGTGGATGCTGTAAGCCTGTAAGCCATGTGTTTTGGAAAACAGCAGCAGCAGCAGCTGCCTGTGCTACCCTAGCAGCCAGGCCACTATGTTGCTGCCTGGCAGGGTTTTTTTTAATGAAAGTGCACATGCCTACATAGAATGGAACAGAACAGCAACAACAACAGCAAGAGAACATAGGGGACTACAAAAAAAACACACACACACAAATGTGAAGCGGGACATGGATTTGTGATGATTTACTTCTGTGAAACAGACTGCACAGCTGTGTACAAGTATCAGTGCTGTTAATTTCTCTGTCAATGCCCGTGGCCTATGCATACTAGTAGTGATCCATTCATCTGTTGGTAGATGGTCAGGAAAGCAGGGTGGCGGGTTAGGGCCTGGCTGCAAAGGGGCTTGATCCTCGCGATTGCCTTACTGGCTATCTATGTGTGTTAATATGTTTACTGCTGCTGCCGCCGCTGTTGCTGCTGCTGTTGTTGCTGTTGTTGTTGTTGCTGCTGTTGTTGTTGCTGTTGCTGTTTCATTCCCTGTTAGGTTTGTTGCACTGCAGCCAAAGGACGACAGCGACAACATAGTGTGCATGGAGAATTATGTCGTCTTCTTCATGTCTTCCTATCAGTACATTTGGGTGGCGCTGGCGTTCTCGGCTGGACGTCCTTATCGACTAGCATTCTACACTAACTGTAGGTTACGTATGAACTGTGTAGTTACGTGTTTACGGCCATGTGCCCCCAGGCTATTTAGAGATTTGGGCACCATTCGGTCCCTGGGCAGTTTATCTGCACCCGTACAGTTACGGCAAGTCGAAAGTGGTGATGGCATGAATATGGCAAGACTGAAGCGTTGCTGCGCAGTCCCAGCACTGCCGACATTAGGCCGTGCGCTGGGTACTCTTCTACTTTCCTGGTGTTAGCTTTTACTTGCCACTGCAGCTGTAGCACTGTGAAAGGGAAACCCCCTACTGGGACGAAATCATGCACATTTTAGACTGGACTCCGAATGCAATGAAACCGGGTAAGGCGAGACCAAAAAAAAATAGAGATTCCCGGGCCCTCCCGCACCAAAATCGAGCCAAAGCCAATTTTTTTTTTTTGAACAGTTCATACATGCACAGTACTGATCGTGTGAGTAGATCTGTGACGTGGAGTCACACAAACCCGAGCTTGTACAACTCCCTGATGTACAGACAGCAGATCAGGGCCATGTGTCGTTGGCCGAAATACAGAAAAATAGAACGGGTAAACCGCGTACCTGTTGTCTGTAAAAAAAAATGAATAAAATTACCGGAAAATGCTGTAAAAAAAGTTCAACATGGCATGCACACATAAAGTCATGTACATACATGGGAAAAAAATAAAAAATAAAATTCGCCCACCCGCACCAATTTCACATGGGTCCTGCCCGGGAATCTCGATTTTATTTTGGTCTCGCCTAAATATTTAATTGCACAGTTTGTGCTGCAGACTTGCCAATTCTAGCAGTTCCTCCTTAAGTCGCAGCTCCGTATCGCCAACTCCTTCTCCGTGCAGGTTTGATGTTGGCATTCGCAAAGTTGTACCCCGGTTAATGTTTTATTCTCTTTTCAATCTAGTAGTCATTTGTAGAAGATACCTTGTATGAGGAGAGTTGAGAGTTGAGAGTTGAGAGAGTTCAGAGTTGAGAGTTGAGAAAGTTGAGAAAGTTGAGAGTGGAGAGTTGAGAGTGGAGAGTTGAGAGTTGAGAGTTGAGAGTTGAGAGTTGAGAGTTGAGGCTGTTACAATGCAATGATCATGTTCTGCTACACATGTTTTTAAAACTCTGGCAGTGGCACTTTCGCACGCACGCTCCTGCACGCGCACTGGCCAACAAGCATGGTGCCTTTCCCTGTTGTCGGCCGTCCCCTGGAGAAAGAGAAGGAAATGAGATTGGAAAAGATGTTCTATTCCGCATTGTTGCGTGTCGTGTGTGTGTGTGTGTATGTTGGTAGAAATTGGTATGATGATTTCTACTTGACTCTTACGATCTTGTTGGCATGTTTGGATGTGCCCAGACTATGGTTCATGTACTGCATACATGTATATAGTATATACCCATGGCTGTCTCTCTGTACATGTGTTAAGTTGATGGTGTTATGTCCGTCCACGCTGTAGATTTGTTCCTGGTCTCTCTGATGGTCCTGTTTGGCCTGACAACCTGGCTGCTATTCTACCCGCCCGACAAGCTAGTCACCTTCATACAGGTGAGAATGGGTCGGGTACTACTTACTGTAAAAGCCATTATTCTAACGAGGCGCATATGTAACGATTTCCCGAAATCGACTGGTTTACGTGTATCAAAGATAACGATTCTCACTTATTCTCAACGCTCAATAGGACAGTATATGTATCGATTTCTGTAGAACGATTTCTATTTTAACGACAGATTTCTCCTCGTTAACTCGTTAGAGTTAGCACTTCGTTATATATATGTCTTTTACAGTGGGTGGTCTAGTTCTCTGCCTGTTCATGTACTAGTGCAGTGCGAATGAAGCACGGTGCTTAACTGCTCAACTGGTAGAAAGTTAGGTTGTCCCCGAAGAGTTAAAATGCAAAACGCGACAAGCGCCGAATTTGAGAAAGTGAGATTTTGAGCTCTGCGTTGTCAAAATGTCTAGAGGTAACTTCATGAAAATTTTCACATTCAAAAATTCTAGTGATGTAAGGAATATTCGAATTATTCGAATATTCTAGAATACCAACACCAGAAAGAATATTCGAGTGCAGGCAGCATTATTCGATATTCGAAAATTCAAAAAATTGGCACTTTTTGGTTGTGTTATTTAGCTCCAACCTTGATCTCCTGAACAGTATTGAGGATGACAGTAGAAAAAATTCAAAATATTTTCTGAGAACTGTGAAGCTTGTTCTTGAGTAAAGTCTGCTCTGTAAGCAGTGGGAATGTGATCTGTATGCAACATGGATGTTGAGTCTGATGGAGTAAAGTGATCGATGCACATCACAAGAATAATAGAATATTCGTTCGTTCGTCAAAGCAATATCCGAGAGATTTTTCAATCGAAGAAAACACCATTCGTTACATCACTAAAAAATTCACGTGCTTTTCCTGCCAATCTGACTTTATCAACGGACAGCTTCTCTACCATTATCCTGAGGGCACTTCCACTTCTAAGTGGCTGAGGTGTGGTCAATGGTTGTCTTTTGTGTCTCTGTAAGAACATGTCCATATGCCCATATGAGATCTTGTTGTTCGAAAGTAAGCACATGGTCTTACGTGGTGTGCGCACGCGCGTGTGCATTCTTGTGTTGTGTGTATGCAGCTGGACCCGAGGATGCAGAAGTTCTGGTTGTTCAATGTCGCTTTGCTTGAGTTGACTCTGCTCAACCTGGCTATCTCCGTTATCACAGAGGTACACTACTTTGCTTCATGACATACAGGATCAAGGGCTTATCCGTAATTGTTCACCATTCACCACGGACCTACAAAACTTAGCCTTCATGCCATCCATGTGAAGGCGGCTGTTGATTTGCATGCACACTTTGTTGTTAGAAGCGTTGAAACGTCAGATTTGGAGAGCTTCCTAAGACACGCACACTTGGTCATACGTCAGAATCGCTCCTTCTGCAACTGTGTGTGTGTGTCTCTCTCTGTGTCTGTCTATTCTGCAGTTCTTTGTTCTGCCAAGCACGCCGGTAGTGAATTTGCTTCGACACATGCGTCGCAAGAAGCAGCCCAAGAACGCGTATAAGCTGGTGGAGCGAGAGATCCAGGCTGACCCACACTGGCCACAACTGGACACGGGTAGCACTGGCAATGTAGCAATCAACGATCCTCGCAGCACTTTGTCCAACACACAACATCTACAGCAACCATCCAGGAGTGCCAGGGCAGGCAGCACTGCTTCGACTAACGGCAGCCGCTCAGCCAGCTTGAGGACAGTGGAAGCTAGCTGTTGATTTCCTTTACTGCAATTGTACATATCCGTTTACATTGCTAGATATAGAGGCCATAATTTTTTTAAGCAATGCATAATACCAAGAGTTCATAACCCCAGGGTTATGAACTCTTGATATTACCGAATTCCAACCAAAACGGTTGGAAGCAATGCATGAAACAGAACACCATCATGGGTTGCTCGTGTTCTTCTTTTGTTTATCAGCCAAAACTGCACGACGGGTATTTTCATTTTTTTTTTACAACGGAATGTGTGCTAGATTCAGAACGATGTGTTTGTTTGTTTTTTTCAAGATAAAGTTTTAACCGATGTGTTTGTTACCATTCTCAAGATAAAGTTTTAACCGATGTGTTTGTTACCATTCTCAAATTAACGTTTCAACCTGTTTGTTACCATTCTCGAGATACGTTTTAACGCTACACTAGTCATGCACACTTTACGATATTTTTAATGAATGGTTTTTACTACTTCTTGAATCAACCCAGAGAATTTCTCTACCTCCGTGGGTGTTTATAACATCTTGTTCATTCTGTCAACTCGCAGAGTCACTGTTCGCTCCCGATCATCATTTTTTAGAGCATTCTTACTTTTCTGCTTTCGATGAGTTACTTTCCTTTAGCTATCAAAATTTGCAGGACCGCTATTCTTAGAGCAGGAATATTTTCTCCTTTTGATCAGTTTCCTTTCTTCACTTTTGGTCCTGCTTCCCGTCATGGTGTGTACGTGGGAATACTTCAAAAACTGGTTCATAATAGCATATAGACCAGATAAACTCAGGAACATGTTTGATCCATGGCAATGAAGACCGCAGCGGCTGTGTTTCCTCGTGGAGGGATTATATAAAAAATACAACACGAAATTCACTGTTCGCTCCCGATCATCATTTTTTAGAGCATTCTTACTTTTCTGCTTTCGATGAGTTACTTTCCTTTAGCTATCAAAATTTGCAGGACCGCTATTCTTAGAGCAGGAATATTTTCTCCTTTTGATCAGTTTCCTTTCTTCACTTTTGGTCCTGCTTCCCGTCATGGTGTGTACGTGGGAATACTTCAAAAACTGGTTCATAATAGCATATAGACCAGATAAACTCAGTAACATGTTTGATCCATGGCAATGAAGACCGCAGCGGCTGTGTTTCCTCGTGGAGGGATTATATAAAAAATACAACACGAAATAGTCATAAATTGTCATTCCTAAATTCCGGGAACGGTTGCAGCGACAGCATAATCCCAATGTTCAACCCATTACATCCTGGGTGAGGGGGTCCAGTGTGGTGGTATCGCCGGCACTGCTCAAGCTGACCTGCCGTTGAGCACTGTACTGGAATAATGCCAGCAGGTGCACCACCAGCCTAGGATCACCACCTGCTCGCTACCTGAACGGTCAGGACACCGGCAACAGCAGTAGGAATAGACGGCATGAGTTGTGACCTTCATTCAGAAGTCACAGGTCACCAGAATAGTGTACTGTACTGGCCGGCACACAGTTCTTTTCGAGTTGGAGACTGGGTCATCACTGTTGCTACTACTACTTGTAGTACTTATACCGTGTGCCATCAGCTCTTCTAGTTGGCTATATACCGGCTGGCCTGTCATTCCAGTACCTGTCCACTACAAAGTACCGCGATGATCACCATGGACATGCAATCATCCCGACCGAGAACACGGTACGGTAGCGGCGACACCCAAGAGCAACACACCACTACCTCCGGCATTGACAAACAAGCCAGTCATGTCGCCAGCACAGGATTCCACCAAACGTAGAGCTGCAGCAGCAGTAGGTGACCACCATCAACTGCCAGGGTACAGGCACTGTGCAACTGCAGCAGCACAGAGGACGTGCACGGGATTGGCCGGTAGCGCATCAGAAGAGACCGATTTTCGTTTTCCCGTCCTGCACGCGGGGTACAATTGAGGTCAAGGTCAAGTTCACAAGGTCTTGCACAACCTGCAGACAGCAACAACAGACATATCACGATAAAGCAGACAATGAGCCAACCAATAGGTTCAGAGTGTATGTAGCAGACACAGCTAGAACGCAACGCCAAGCAGCAGTGTGTAGATTACGGTGAAAATTCAGACGCGGAAGCAGGCTGCAAGGCAAACGGAAACAAAGCCCCCCTCCCCAAACACACACACCTAAGCACAATAATTACGTGCATGAACATTCATGTACCTCAGGTATCTGGTAAATCTGCCGCTGCTTGGCATCCTTCAGTGTCCAATCGATGACCACATACTTGAGTCGCTTGAGTGACAGGTGACCTGGATGGCAAGCCAAGAGCACAAGCACACACTATGTACATCAGAGAGACAGACAGACAGAGAGTGCACGCGCATGGACACACACACACACAGAAAGAAAGAGTGACAGAAAGACAGAGAGAGAGAGACAGAGAGAGACAGAGAGAGACAGACAGAGAGAGACAGAGAGAGAGAGAAAGAGAGAGAGAGAGAGAGAGAGAGAGAGAGAGAGAGAGAGAGAGAGAGAGAGAGAGAGAGAGAGAGAGAGAGAGAGAGAGAGAGAGAGTCTGACAGATACAGACAGACTATAATCATGTTAGGGCTATGCTACGCTATCTCAACACTCACCAGATTCAACAAGACGGAGAATGCGATTGGGCGTGCCAACACCAATATGCACAGTTGTCTTGGTCAGGAACTCCTTGTGCTGCTCAAGCTGGATGCACAGACACACAGACACACAGAGAGTAGTGACGATGGCAAGGGTTCATACATACAGTATACATGTAGGGTTGAGAAGGGTTCATAACTGGCACGTGTACCCGACACGTTAGCAGTTCATGCCTGCCCACTTTGGTTTTCCCATCTACTCCCATACAAAGTTTATCTCTCTGACGTCCTAAATCCGGCCTGGTCTGGGCCAGTTAATGACGTCATCACGATGTCACCAAATTTAGTGCAAACTTCAAGCAGGTATAACTCGTGAACGGCTGCTCCGATCAACCTGGGACCTTCACCATTGGAATCAGTGTATTTTTCGCTACAGGTTGTGAAGTTTTCATTTTAGGGGAACTTCCCCTTTAAGAGTTTCACAGAAAACAGCGTATTTGAGGTCGTACGACACCTTCGAGTACAAATTGTTTGACCCCAGCAGTCAAAGTGAATGGCATGTGCACGAGTACGCACCGACACATACATGTTGTACTTGTGTTCTATTTGGGTGCATTTCCATACGCAGGACGCCCGAAAGCCAGCAAAAAGACGCATAAATGCATCGTTTCATGCGTACGCGTGGACAGTTGTGAACAGCTACACAGTTGAGCAGGGGCGTGGAACATATTGCAGCAAATCCTTCCCCTTATAATTATTACGTGGCAAGTGAGCATTGCCTGTAAGTGGTGATGACTGGACAGCATGTGACATGTATATGCACTAAAAAGTACAGTTGCGCTTGGTGAAATCCGACACCCGAAGTAAACAACTGGCGCACTGAACCAGCTCCGATTACACCACCGTATTCGTACATGGCATCCAGCCGCATTCGGATCACTTCCAGGGTGCCACGGGCCGTACAAACTGAGGGTGACAAATATGCACTTTGGGTCGGATTTCAGCGAGCGTAGCTACACATGCGCAAAGTCATTAGACGATACAAGAATCCCTGTGATCAGACAATCTGGAAGAATGACTTCACTGCTGCTGCAGATCGGCAGGGAAAATAGCACTCGACTAATACCTGCAGGTACGTCTTGTTATTGTACTCCTGTTGCCGTTGCTTTATTATTGAAGTACAGTAAAACCTGGTGTAAGCGACCACCTCACGGTGCAAGAAAAAGCGGTCGTTAAAGACAGGTGGTCCTTAGAACAAGGTCCCACAGTATGCGTGTAGAACTGTCCATGCATGGAAAACGGTCGTAAAAAGCAGAGGTCGCTTACACCAGGTTTTACTGTATTTTCGGGGCTTTTTTTTCAATGATTTTATTTCCACGCCGCACCGAATGCTCGTTGTTCATTTCCTAAGTCCATTCAGCACGTGCGAATTTGTGGGCGGTTTACCACCGCTGACATTGACGCGTAAGTGCATAAGAATAATACCTGCGCCCTACCTTGAAATGTTTGGCGAAGAGCTTTGCAACTTGACATCCACTGGAAAATTCACCCGCAGCCCTGGAGCACCAACAAAGAGCAAGCATACGCAGCTGTAGCACCACTGCAAGACATTGCCTAACGTTGTACAATGTAATATTGGAAATGCAGTATTATACCGGACACTTGGGTTTGACAGCACTTTACTGTGCATTTCCAGGTCAAAACCGGAATACTGGGTCCGGGCTTATACGCACACATAATCCAAAACCAGATCGTGCAAAATATTTCCGGATCTCCAAGCGGAAACTATCAATTTCCCAATATCCCAAAAGGTCCATTACAAAAATTATAAAAACTAAAAATAGATTGTAGATTCACCACTTCAAACAAAGAATAAGAGCAAGAACACCAGCACCAACAATGACAACAACAATGGCAAGAACAACAACACAAAAGCTCCAAAGCTACGGTACCACCGACCCAGAAACTACAAAAACAACAGCGACAACAACAACAGCAGCAGCAGCAACTACAACAGCAGCAGCAGCAGCAGCAGCAGCAGTAACACAACAACTTGCAACTTACCGAATGAGGTCGACTGCTCGCACAGCAGAGCTGGTTATCACCAGTAAGACAGGACGGCCGTGCTTTGTTCCTTTCAGCTTGCCAAGCGACTTTGACCAGCCAGACACAGCTGGAGAAGACACACGGAGAACAAGAGTGAACAAAACACACCATTGCCTCTTTCAAATCTAAACAATCCCAGCTGACAACAGAAAAAAAGGGATCAACTAAAGAGACAGGGAGACGAGTCAGTACAGGTAAGACACAGACGAACAAGTAAGACACTTCCAACAGAATCTGGAAATAGCCAGCGATGCACATGCGCACACGCACACACAGTTGTTTCACATCTATCACATGACCATATGGGACAGCCATGTTGCTTCCAACTCCAGGCACCCCCTGCATCTATGGGTCATGTGATGTGGGCCATGTTGGTTCCACTGTCCTCACGTTCTAGTTTCCACACAAATTTCATCACATGACGAAGATGTCAAACCACACTACCGGTATACTGTAAAGTCATTCTGAAGCAGACACGCCAAAATATCCAAGGATTTCCACCAGTACTAAGCTGAGGCCAAAGCTGCACTGGAAAGCAAACTTCCTTGCAGACTGCTGTCACAAAACTGAATGACAGCGTCCATACCAGAAAAGGTGAAGGTAAAGATACTAAATCCTGACTGCCTTGCAGCTACAGGTACCAGCGAAATTATACGGACTGCTAGAGGTGGAGGGTGAGAACTGGGGTGTGGAATGGGTGTGGGTGTGGACTGGGTGTGGGTGAGTGCTAAAATCTACGCTATAGCGCTAGCAGGATAGTCGATGTCCAGTGCAAGTAGCTGCGTGGTGGGATACAGTGAGAAGCTTCAGTAGGCATGAGAAGCGTCACCAACAGTTGCGTTATGACATCGAATCATTGTGTGATTCGGCCTGTATTAAAAGGAGGCTATTTGAGATTAGCGCTAACCTCCACCACTTACCGGTGTTGAGGTACTGAGAGAATGTCAACTCCTCGCCATCCGACAACCGTGCCGCCAGTAGTGCCTGCTCCTCTGAGTAGCAAGACAGAAAACATGCAAGCAAATATAAAAAAGGCGTTACATTCGGCACAGTGTGGATTTAACACTGTCAACACCAATGTCACCAATGGCTCTTACATTCTTGTCAGGCACACCACGTTCCCAGCACAGCACGACACTCGAGAACAACCCAAAGATAGTGCACACGCCCAACAAGCCGCCAGCTCCATGCTATCACCACACACACGCACCCACGCACAAGAGAAAAAAGCTAGAAACATACCCGGAAAGGCCAGGTCATCCTCGTCAACAGCAAAACGATCACACGACGACAACTGGGTTTTGACTTCTTCAGCAACTTCGGCACGAGTCATAATAGGGTCAGTTGACACAATTGTTTTCTGCATGAAACACAACATAAAAAAGAGTGAACGAGAGTTTATATTAATTTTCTTGTTCGAGTATTCGGAGAGAAAGAGAGTAGGAATATGTAGAGCTATGGCGAAAGAAATCTCCTCCCCCCCCCCCCCCCCCCCCCTCCTCTCCCTCCCCGCATTGGGAATAGCGCCGCCACGGCACCGAAACAGGCCAAGAGCAAATGCACATTTGTCAGACTAAGGCCCCAAGTGCACACTGCACGCCGCATTCATACACAGCACCATACCACACTACCAGACAGCATACATACAACCATACGTGTCCACAAAGGACGAAACAGTTCTGTCCGCAGATTGAGTATTTCGCTCCTGCTCTTGTAGCAGTTGAGCACTCTTGCGTGGGGTAGTGCCTTTGCTGTTTGCATTATGCAGAGCTCACTGACTTGTCAGTTTGAGCACTCTGGCAAGGTACGTTCGGGCCTGATTGGAAATTTTTATTTCCATTGCTATCAGGTTCGGCCTCATTTCCTCTGTGCTGCGCTGACGAGTCCACAAAGGACGAAACAGTTCTGTCCGCAGATTGAGTACAACCATACATGCATAATCTAGCCACACACTGTCGTACTTGCTAGGATAGAATTGCCTTGCAAACACAAGACTGCCATGCATGCAAGAGTAGAGTGGCAACTGAACACCCATGAAAACACACATCTGGTGATTTCTTGTCCGAAGAGCAAAGATGCAGTCTCAGTGGAGCGCCTTACCGAAGCGGATTGGGACGACACGTCGGCCTTTTCTTCCGCAGGAGAATCGCCAGACTTCTTAGATTTCTTCGGTTTCTTCGATTTGCCAACAGAGGCCACCAGGTCAGCGGAGTCATCCTCTTCAGCTTTCTACAGAATGGGGAATGGTAGCAGAAAACACACAGAGCATAGTGACGTTTTTGTTGATGGGCAAGCTAATCCAAAAGGATGGTTAACCCTTTGTGCACTGATTACCAGCATACCGTGAAACAGAATTAGAATCTTCAGCACAATTTTCACTTTCAACAGGTCATAACTTTGGCCTTCACTCAATTTTCACAATCTTGGGCTCGCTGCGAAGCTCCCAGGTTCCATCAAGCAGCCGCTACATATTAGGCGCAAAAAATTAAATTCACAGAGATGAGAATACGACATGCGAGATATCGCAGCTGTTGCAATTGAGAGCTTGAAGCTTCTGCCACGACGTAGACCCTTCGATTGTTGCAGCAGCACAACAGCAACGATGACAACGACAACCACAGCGACGACAACGACAACAGCAACAACAGCCGCAACAACAACAACAGCAGCAGCAGCAGCAACAACAACAACAGCAGCAGCAGCAACAACAACAGCAGCAGCAGCAGCAGCAATAACAGCAGCAGCAACGGCTGCGACAACACAACAGCAGCAACAACAACAACAACAACAACAACGCCAGCAACAACAACAACAACAACAACAACAACAACAACAACAACAACAACAACAACAACAACAACAACAACAACAACAACAACAACGTGAGAATAAAGATTTCAAAAAAACACAACAGACGTAGCCTGACTCCTCTTTGAAACCAAATAGCTTCATAAAAGGCTAAAAGTCATTCAAAATCTCAAGATAACGTACATCATGTTTGCGTTTCTTGGATGCAGTGCTAGCTTCTATTTCATCAGCTCCATCTTCGGCTGCATCTGCAATTGCTGCTTTCGTCTTCTTCTTCTTTGACTTTTCTGATGGTGATTGAGCCTCTGCAGTGCATGAACATAAAAGAGAACAAACTACACATCCAATACTCCGCAGGGCACAAAAAATACACAACTGCACAAAATGACAATGACTATCTACTATTGAATGGCCTTGCTTGCTCTCTCCTACAAGACCGCTTTACTCTTCGTGCTCACGGTGCTCACACTGCTGCCCTTACCCGTGGTCAGGTGTCTGCCGCGCTTGTTTTACCCCCTGCTAGCACACGCTATGGTTTCAGTGCAATTTCTTACGTAGGTGCTGACCGGTGGAATGCACTGCCATCTGCTTACCGCCTTTCTAATTCACCTGCTGAATTTCGTTCATCCATCAAGACTTTCTTAGGGTTCCCTGTAAGAAGGCGATGACGCGCCTATTGGGAATTCGCTAGTAAAATAAGAATAAAAATAAAATAAATCTACATGTCGTACGGACTTGGGAGACGAGCCACACCTCGTCATAAAGTGCCAATTTCATGGCACCATCTCTCCAATAGCGCGAATGCAAAAGTGTCATTTCGATTCAGGGCTTCTTTATTTCCGCAATTCGAGCAACAAAGCGTTTCGCCAATCGGGACTCTTTCTTATCGCTCACGATCCCAGCCTTTCTTGTTCCTATTTTAGTTGTCTGCTGCCATGTCTTCACACGTTTCCATGCATTATTACACGACAGCAAGAGTCTATGATATCACCAAGAGTATGCAACTCTGCTTGATCATGCGTCATGGGTTAATGCATGGCACCGCCGGTCTGCCGGTCGCCTTTAGGGAGGTTCAAGTAACAGCGTGATCTCTTAAATTACCGGTGCACGAACATCAGTTCCACACGGAAGCAGAGTTCAAACCACAGGGAATATGTGGTGCTTTACTTTTTACACAGCACGCAGATGCAGCTGCACTATGCACCGAAGGCAGCGTGCCACGGCCCATAGAAAAGAGATCAAAGGTACATACTCTCAGGTCATGGACTCTTGATAAAACTATCATAAAAGCTATACCATCTTCGCAAAAAGAAGCAAAACTTAGTGCCCTTTCCTGCCCTGCAACAAACAAAATTCTATATCATTCTGCTAGCCTGCTATGTTCGTACTTGAAGTATTTCACAGAGAAAGTCCAGGCAGCCTTGCCATTCTTTGCCTTACTGTTCTTCAGCGCCCTACCACGACAGTAGTCTACTGTGTAAATTGTATTATGCTTAACTTTAGTTTCCTGAGGTACAAGTATGTAGCCACTTCACAATATAGAAAAACAGTACACCATCAAGCGTGTTGTCTCCGTAAACTAAAATCTTGAAAAGACCATTAATCGGAGATCATGGTGCACGTAATCCATTCCTCGTTGAGAGCACAATCAAATACGAGTACATAAGTATAATGTAGGAAAGCTTGAATTACAATCTCACTGAAGTGCATATTTACGAGCACACGAACCTGGCCCAGGATCCATCCACCAGTCATCGTCCAAATCATCGGCACTGCCCATAGGTCTCGACTTCATTTTCAAAGCAATAGCAGGCGTAAAACAGTCGTATTATGGCTGAAGGTCAGAGCAATAATTATAATTTCAATGTTCGATCGACAAAGAAGAGAGCAACAATCCAACATCTTCTACAAAAAAAAGACGCTTTTTGAATATTTTTATTAAATTTTCTTGTCCTTTCATCATGAACACTTGTGAAAACCACTACATGTGGTCACGTGGCACGTAGCGTCGTTGTCCAGGTTACTGTGTAGATGTTGTCGTAGCTACAGTAGCCTGATGCATACGCTAAAACTGTAAAACTAAAACTACAGTCTGTTTCAAAAAGATTAGCAATCAAGTTTAGGTCTTAAAAAGTATGAAGATAAGGGAAATCTGGACAACAAAGTACATAAAACGGCTTGTTAGGGCACGGCAAATTGTTCTGTGAAGGTTTCGGAACAATCGGACCAACCGTTAAGGAGTTAGTATTTCGGCCAGGTTTCTGGCCTTTTCCCATGGTTTATAATTTGCCCTGGAAGCCAGTATCGATTTGTTATCAAAACCCACGATTTATCCCTTCCTTTTTGGCCTAGTGGTTATGAATGCTGTCTGCTGACCATGAAGTTGTGAGTTCAAATCCCAACAAATCTTCAAGTCAAACATTTTTTCTTCAATTTTTTTCATTGTTTTGGTACAAGACAAAGAAGGTGGCTGCGCCAAGCGACTTGTTGTTGGAGCTCGCATTTCCTGCCGAACTGACTGACACTTGAATGACTGGCTCACGCCATGTGAAGTTGTGAACACACACAACACTGAAACCGTGTGAGTGAACACGGAAGTCATTGCGCTGTAGCTACGTGTTGTTGAATAAACCGGCACATCGCGATCGATCGATTTCTGTTTGAGAATTATTTTAGTATTTGAAGATCGCCAATTTATTTGAATTTAGGAGTCAACGCCGTCTTCTATCAGCTTTCACAGGCGTCTGCTTTCTCAAAATGTCGTCGAAGTCACACGGATAACTTTGCCACTTCAAGGCCTTGGGAATGAGTCTGTGTCGATGCCGTTTTCGTCTCATCGTGAGAGTAAATTGCATCCGCGGCAGCTCAAAGAATCTATTTGGTCACAAAACGGACGCATCCCGCTCGTCAAAATTTACCACACTTTCGACATGTCCTCTCTGACTCCATCCACATCGATGCGAGGAAGATCGTCAGTGAGTTGTCATTTTTCATGCTTTCGCGCGGAATATTTCTTCGAGTTCACAGTGAGTTTTTCCAGGCAGCGCTCTAGCGCTCATACGCCACGGTAAGACGGCAAACTCCCCGGGCGATCACCAGGATTGCTAATCTTTTTGAAACTGACTAAAAGCAAGACTGCCAAGGGACTGGATCCATGGAGTCACTGGCAGGAGTCATGACTCATGGACTGAAAAAGTGGGGAGGATCAGAGTAGATACAAGGGGTCCGGGATAGGACTCTGGGAAGGGGAGAGTACATTTTTTTTCCTAAGTACACAACCTACATGTGATTGTACTCGTCAGAAGAGGGGAAGACAACAGAATATACAGTCATGTACATTGTACATCGTTGTTGTTGTTGTTGAAATTTTATTTTGTATCGCAGACCAAACGGGCAATGGTGCCCAATATTATGATGGCGATAAAGTAACGGCCGAGAGCCAAGGATACAACAAGCAAGCCTCCACGAAAGAGAGAAAAACACAGACAACACAGACTGCAAATACTCAAAAAGAAAAAGAGAAAGGGAAAAAGAGAAAAAAAGAAGAAGAAGAAGAAAGCACAGTTGAGTCACAGTTGAGTCACGACTCCAAGTCCAAGCCTAGATGCTGGCTAGCCATAAAAATAAACCTTTAATCTTGAATGATCTGTGGCAGGCGAGGGACTTGAACTCTTGGGGCAGGGCGTTCCATAATCTAAGGGCGGAAGCGAGCGGCCGACAGTCACCAGAGACTCGCCTGGTGGCAGGGACAACATACGCATTTGGATGTCAAAGAGTTGGTGGACAAGCCGTTGATTATTCACTCTCATTGTAATATCAAAAAGTATTCTTTCTAGACCAAAGAGTGGTATATTTGATAACATTTAATAACGATAGAAATTTTTACGATACTTCTCCAGACGTTTCGTTGTTCTGAACAACATCGTCAGTGGATAAGTGGATTCTTTATCCACTCTTTATCCACTCTTTATCCACTGACGATGTTGTTCAGAACAACGAAACGTCTGGAGAAGTATCGTAAAAATTTCTATCGTTATTAAATGTTATCAAATATACCACTCTTTGGTCTAGAAAGAATACTTTTTGATATACGCATTTGGATCGTTGATCCGAGTGACGCCTTCAGTCTGGCGACGTAGGTGCTTGGACAGGAGATTACTAATTCTGGCGGTGTGGATACGAAGCATGAGGAGGCGGAGTTTACAGTGGGCGTTTTGGATGATGGGGATGAGGCCTAGATGGGTGTAGATGGGATCTGTGTGGGAGGGGAATGGCTGGTTGGCAACGCAGCGGATACATCGCTTGTCGAGAACCGAAAGCTGATGCCGTTGGTGCGCAGAGAGAACCGAGAAGAAGGCATTAGATCCATATCACATGTCCGGTAGTATTAACGATCTGTAAAATAGCAGGGCTTGTTGAGGAGCGAATGGCTCTCAGCGCCGTCAGTTTCTGGGAGGTCTTCCGTGTAATAGTTGCAACTTGAGTCTCCAACCGAAGCTGGGAGTCGAGATGTAGACCCAGATATCGAGCATTTGTGGTCTGAGCTAGGGGATTTCCATTGCATTCTATGTTAAGTAACAAGGGCTGCCTGCGAGACGCATGAAGGGCCAGAACGTGGGGTTTGGAGGGATTTAGTATTAAGCCTCTTTCTTCCAGAAAGTTGGCCAGGTTGGAGACCGAACGGGAGAGGGTTAAATTCAAGAATTCGACAGATTGACTGATGGCGTCTAGCAGGATATCATCAGCAAACAGTTGTGTGTGGGCTGGAGCTGTGATCTGTTCTATTTCCATTGTGTAGATGGAGAACAAAAGAGGACCCAGCACACTTCCCTGAGGAACACCACACTCACAGGGAGAGAGGGCGGACGACTGGCCATTGCTCAGGACGACTCGCTGACGGCGGTCAGTTAGGTAGCTCATGAACCAACTGAGCGCCGTTGAGGTAACCAAAATTTGGTGTTTGACCTTATCGAAGGCCTTGCTCATATCGACAAGTACAAGACCTGTATGGTGCTGCTTATCCGCTGCCTCCAAAATATCTGTCTACAGCCAATGTCAGGGCATCTTCTGTGGAGTGAAGTGGGCAATATGCGAACTGGTTTGCGGGGAACAAGGAATTTTCGGAGAGGAACTTACAGAGTCTCGTGTGGACTACCCGTTCTAGGACTTTGGAAACTATTGGTAATAACGATATTGGTCTATAGTTCCTAGTGACAGCTTTGTCGCCTGACTTGAAGAGGGGACGAACATCCGCAATCTTCAGAGATGCAGGAACAACACCAGAAGCCAGAGATGCATTGATTAGTATGGTGAGGGACGGTGCAAGGACAGGAGAACGGTGTTTGAGGATTGCAGCTGGAACCTGGTCGCTGCCTGCAGCTTTGCGCACGTCAATGTTGGAGAGCAGCTTAGCGATCTCTTGCACACTTGCTGGAGCAAATTCTTCGAGGCATTCCTTCTTCGTGGGACCCAATGGGGCTGAGAGACGTAGTGGTCTAGTTGGATCTGACACCACACCGCTGAATTGGTCACTGAGCTGTGAGACACTGACGGCTGGTGGAACTGAGGACTTGTTACGCCCGATGAGGTAGTTGATGGTCTGCCAGGTTTTCGTGCGTTGGCCTGACTAGCAGCAAGAAGGTCCCTAAAGGTGGCTCGGAGATGTTGTGACATACGTACAATAACAAAACAGCAGGGAGAGTAGGAGCTCCAAGTAGTTAGCTCCCAAGGCGGGCGAAGCTTCGCTACACGGCACCCTTGGCTTTGTTGGCAGAGCATTTCTCATGAGGCCAAGACGCTGGTAAC